TAGAGGTTGGCAAAGAGTACATCTTCCAGGCAAGACCCACTTCTTTTTACATGTAATATCTTATTTCAGAAAACTTGGATTCAAAGCAAGGCCAAAAACAAAACTTTCTTCAGAGTGGACTGCATTTTCATCAATATTACATAAATAACTTTCTTTTTAAACAAATAGCATCCAAGAGGAATCACATTAAAATAGTAATAGCTAATTCAGCTGTTTTTAAAATATCACAGTCACAAAGAACATCATCCACCTGAAAAAAAATTGAATTATTTTATCACTACATAAGTAAAAGCTTCCCTTCACATATGAATGTGTAATTATAACTCCTGACATCAAGCTCAAATTGTATTTCAAGCCACACGTAAAGTATGCTTGGAGGATTTGTTTTGCTCCATTTCATAGAAAAACTATGTATATTATTTACAAACCCCACTACAATGCCATAGAATTGTCAATTTATGTTCAATGTTATATTTGAAAAGTAGTCTCATTTTGAGACATCAGGAGGAATGCAACCTTCCACACAACCATCTTTCTATTCCATGATTTCTTTCTTTTGTGGCAGTTGAGTCACTCTTAACATAGCGAGCAGTTCTTACATATCCCCAGAGATACACTGAGTTTCTCTTCATGGAGCCCAACTGTATCTCCATGGCATGGAGACAAAGGAGCTTTCTCGTTCGTCCATGTGTCCAACTGATCCCCCATCAGCTCTGCACAGACTCTTTATCTGGCAATGGATCAATCGGAGCAAAGATTCAAAAGTAATTTGTGTAATCAATGACTGTACTTTAGACAACTAAATTGCAGTCCTGAAACCCCTAGCTCAGATGCTATTGTATCGCAGAGACATTCAGGGTTCAATTTTCAACCAGTTGCTCTTTGGACCCAGAAGTTCTTTTCTGAAAGAACTTGGTAGTTTGGCATCTCTTTGCTCAATAAAACATGAAAACTAAAATTCACTTCATCTGTCCTTAGGAGCTTAATCCAGTATATTTGCTCTAGAAAAAACTATTGCACAGCTTTTTGACAGGATTGTCTACAAAGTTTAAACAGTGGCACTGTTTCTATCTGACGGCGTAGTATCCACCAATATACTCAAATAGAGTGCACGCATGCTTTCTCAGGGAGTCATGTTTTCAAAGAAAAATGTGAACCCTACTCTAAAATAAAAAGTTAAAGCTGCCTAACCCTCAGGAGGTATGAGTTAGGAATCCTGAACAGAAGTTAGTGCCTCAAATTAGAACCAAACCTGTAAATGAGCCCTGCTTAGGATCAAAGGTCAAAAATTCATATATCAGTTTTTATTTCACCCATTCAGGCACCTCAAGTCCTAACCCTCGACCAAGGAGCAAAAGGGAATTTAAGAAAAACTCTTTTCATAAATATGTCTGTTGTCTTATTGTTGATATTCACACACACACTTCAGCAGTTCAGCACACTATTTTCCACGGATTTTATTCAATGATCTCAAAGATCTTACTTGTAAGCCTTGGTGTGCCTCTGCTAGAAAGCACATGAAGACTAACTTCCCTGCAGAGCAAACTATTCTCACGCACTTATTTGCAGTGAAAGCCAAGTTTACATGGCATCATGCTCATTACCATCATCCATAAGCTTTTTTTTTTTTGGACCTAGCCGTTAGACTCAGTCATTAAAGAGATAATACAAGTATAATTTGAATTTAAAAGATATTCAGATACTTGGCTATTTACAGTTCTTTGATCTCCAAGTTTGCTTGTCTACACCCTGTATAAAATACACAGTACCTCTCTTGACTGCTGGAGAACCAAAGACAAAAACAATGTTACTGCAGTATTCAGACTCCAGACCAACAGCTGCATCACACAAGCTGTACTGATAAAGCAAACCACCTGAAATAACTAATCTGTAAAACCTTCTAACCATTTCTAGAGGATCTTTTAAGTATAAACTCCTGCTTTAAGTAGAATCTGAACTTCAACTCCCTATCTATTAAATCAGAACAACAGCACTGTGCAGTCTCATGGGGAAGATATGAAGATAAACACTTGAATATCCCAATCTTCAAAGCGATGGGAGACAGAGGAGTTCCTTCGCTAAAACAAGAATACTAACAGTTCCTTTGCCTAGTGGTGTTTTGATAGATATAATGAATGTTGTTGTACCTAAGAACTTCAAGGGATACACAAAAGTATAGAAAATTGAAGTCTGCATCTGCAGTGAAAGGATATTAACAGATGCTTAAAACACTTTTTCACAGTCTGAAGAGCTGAGAAGTTGCACGTGGACAGCTCTGGCAGAAACAATCCTTTTCTTTACCTGACTTCCTCTCTTCTAATGTGTACTCAGAGCACATCTTCCTGTGCAGCTGGAGGCTTTGTTACAGACAGAAGGACGCTGCTTAGTGTAGCCGGTGTTTATTGCCTAACTTTTTTTCTTTTTTCTTTTTTTTTTTAAGATGAATTTGGAAAATTTCCCAGATAATACATCTGCCCCTATTACTTGCACCTCAGAGTGTAAGACCAGCCAGGGAGATAGTGAGGACAACTGCATTTATTAGCAATGAATAAACTGATCTATCTCTTTCTGGATTAGCAGCGGGAGATCCCAGACGACCTAAGAAGTATCTATCTGCCGACTGACATATACAAGCTGGCACACTTTTGTGTCAAAAATGTACACAGCTGCATGCACACTAAAGCCGTTCCATCTATAAAGCACAATTGCCAACTGCTTGTCTTCAGAGATGGGTAATAAGAGAAGGTCTCAACAATGAAACAAGTGCAGAGTGAAATTAAAGAATATTTTTCATTCCATTAAGTGTCTGTCTTTCTAAACCCTCCTGGATTTGCTGTCATTTCCTCTCCATCATGTTTTGGAAGAAGAACTGATGATCCCCTTAGAAAAATCCAGATTTATATTTCTCAAAAACTTTATTGAGTTATCAAGGACCTGAATTGCACATTTTTAGGTACCAAAACAGGCTGATTTAACCTGATTGTCAGTCATTACCAGCAGATGTCTGACCAAGTTGTCTAACGTATTTTGGTTCTAGGTCATCTTCAGATATTCAGACTAATAGCTGGTCTAAAAGAAAGAACACAATCCAAAGCAATAATAAATTATATTTATCCACACACCATTACCAGCCAGCAGGTGCCAGTATGAAGGGAGCTTTATTTTAACATCTTCCCCCAAACTGTCTATCCAAACTCTCTCATATCCCCTTAGCCATCTCAATAAACCTCATTCAAGGCCTCAGTCTCAACTTGTGGAGTATAACCGAACCCCAGACTGAACTGACACTTGGACAGATCAGTGTTGGGTTTGCCTGGTTACAAATGGACAAGCACATGAACAATCCCAGTGGTGCAACACCCTGTTCCTCAACACTCTCAGAGACTTCTGATGAAAAGAATGAAATTCAGTGATACTCATAATTCTTTACCTGTCTGATTAATCTATTTAAGTAAACCGCAGCGATGGGGCTGACTGGAGCTCCAGTGAGAAAAAAACTGGAGCTCACAATTCCTTTGGTGTTTAGATCATCACAACTGACAAGAGATGAAATACATAAAAGATTTTTTTTTTTACTAAATATACAATAAAGGGTGCAAACTCTGATATCAGGAAAAGCACAGAGCAATTTGGATGACGAAAGGTGCCCAACAGCTGTTCCTACAGATTCCTGCACAGAGACGGGTTTTGCAAGTCAACATGGTGTCAATATTTAACTAACACATTATCACTTGTTATTATCATTTGACTATCAGTCAAGTAAGCATCTAGCAAGAAAAAAAAAATTAAAAATGGAAGTGATCACTGGGTGATCAGAGAGAGATGAGAAGGTGATTTTTGTTTTAAACAAAAACTGAATTTGCACACACACATATTTGCAAGTACCAAGATATCTATGCTCACATATTCTTGCCACATTTACCTGTGGCGACTCAGAAGATGAGGGATATCAGCAACTCGGTCCTCTTCAAATCTTTGGCATTCTTTTGGCTGTCAACAATGCTGCATAGTTTTTGCAGCCCCTATCTGTCTTAACACACAGGGCTTAGTACCGGGTTAAGTTGTACCACACCATGGTGGGGCCTTCGTGCTATCAGCGTGCCATCTAACGCTTGCTCTCACTGTTACCCAGATTCCTTTTGGATTTCCCCTTCCTGCTATCAGTCTTATGACTTCATCTATATAAACACAAACACCTTTCAGACATCTTTTTTTTTTTTTTTTAAACCTTCCATTCTGCCATTTCTTCTTGTACTTTTAAAAACTCATACGTCATACACACCAACGTAATATTTCACTTACAGACCTCTACAACATCTCAAACACACAATGAGGTTCATCTAGATATTTTCCTGAAGCACATACTGTCTATACCTTTGCTTTATCCAAGAAGTGACGATATCAGCAAATGATGAGAATCACAGAACATACGATAACTGGTCTGCTTCGATCTGAAAAATGCCCAGTTCCAAAATAAATAGTCAAAAAAGAGAGGAAATAATACCCAGTGGCCCAGAAACAGCAGACTTCTGTCAGATTGGCAGCCTTTTTTCTTTCCTTGACAAAACAAACAGGAGCACAACACAAATGCACTGAACATGGAAGAAAGTACTTTTTGAGCGCTCATGCAACCTCGGGAACCCTCGGAAAGATACCAAAGAAAACATGCCTTAGTAGAAAAGTTTTTATCCCAGAAGAATAAATAAAATCCATCTCAGATTTACCACTAGGAAATGAGTCAAATATACAGCAACATTCACCATCGTGTACATCTCTATGTTCAAAGGCAAGGGAATACAAATCCCACACGCCCAATAACATTTTCCACAGGCTTTTTATGTGAGAATAGAAATAGCCTATACATCACTAACAATCACGTTATGCTCGTAAATTAAAAGCTACAGATTTTACCATGAAAATTATATGGAAGATGATGATAAATGGTAAAGCAAATGCATAGTACAATTGGTACATTTTGTTAGTCATTTCAGTTCATTTACCTGTAAAGTAAGTATTGGTGGGGAGACTGGAACTAGCGAATCTGTAATATCCATTTCCTGGGAAACGGATCCCTTTCATTACTTCTGTACTCAATGTAGCTAAAGATGAATCCATCCTTTCCACCTGGTAGATGGGAGAAGGCCCATTAAGTTCTTCAGGTTCATTCCAAGTTATCTTTACTATTGTGCTGTTTATTCCTTCAACACGAGGGGCACTAAGTTTTGTTGGAGCTGTGCATAAAAAAAAAAAAAATTATCTAGGTATCATTGTGCATAATACTTGGGAAATTATTATTGCATATAACATATTTTTTTACAAAACATCCTGCTTCAGTTTCTGATCATCTTAAGAATAAACATAGATATTTATAGAAGCTTAATTAGTAAAACCAAACCAAACCAGAAAAATCCCCAACCCATTCTCAATCTTTATAGGAACTTACTTTCAATTCCACAAAACTACCTTATTTGTTTATTCAGGCTTTGAATAAATGTCTTTGATATTATATCCAAAAATATTTTTTTCATGATCTTTAAGAATCTGAAACAACCTCTTCATAAAAAGTATGTTTGTATTCCTTCCTTGATTAGCCTCTCATGCCACACTCACTGTAAGCATGTATCTGTGTGACTTCCAGCACTGAATTTGAGTGAAAGACCAAAGGAGAATCTGAACAGTTAATTAACTCTCACTGCATCTCGGCAGTGTGGTATATGACAACCCAAGTCTTCCATCATGGAACTTATCCTCGTCAACAGGAGCGAAACAGCTATCCGTCCACAATACTGAAGGCTCGTCAGGTTGTTTTCCTCACAGTGTGCACATAAGACAGTAGCATATGTTCAGAAGATTATTCAGCTAAAGAAAATGATCCTCTCTAACTTTTCTCCACCAACACCAGCGCACAGCAAGACTCCATACAAGATTGTTTCCACACAGGGATCAGCATAAAATAGTTTTATGTTATTACAATGATTCTGCTACCATTAAAACCAATATTCTGATATTGTTTTAAACATTCTGATAGTGTTGATCACTCTATAACGGAGTTCTGAACAAAATTTTTTTTTTCTTTAATACTGTACAGTAAGCCACTGGAGGGCAGCATGACCTGTTTGGATAATGGCATGATGGCCATAAAGGTGGGAAAGAAATGGACCATCTCTGAAACAATAAAAGACGTTGTCTGAAGAAGTACAAGAACACTCTACTACTTATAGAATCTATATTCATCTTATCTTGATTTTTTTTCTTCCCCTTCTTTCCCTGATAAAGCAAAGGATTTAACAACAGAAACTTCATTTGTACCCAGGAAGTGAAATACAATGACAACTTGTAAAAATTACTTGTTCCCATAATGACATAGTAAAGAGCAATAAACGCCTTTCAAGAACAATAAAACCTGAATTAAAATATGGGCCTTCGAAATCTGACATATTACTTCACAGCACAGCATTGTACATAGTGTGAGTTCTTTAAAGAAGGAGAGATTGCTTCATTTAGAATGAATTAATAACATCCTTTTAAACATTTGCACACTTCCAAGATCATTAACATGTTTTTCATTTTTCCTATTTGCCTGTAGCATGTTGCTACTGTTTTTCTTTTTTCTTTTTTTTTTTTTTTGTCCCACTAACTTGATAAATATTCTTCTTGGAGAAAGCAGGGAGTGGGGATACTGGGAAACTGCCAATGACACTATGTGCTGTAAATTCCTGCTTAGGCATCATTTATGACTTCACAATCTAATTAGTATCTCACGCTACGGTAGAAATTTACAATGTCAAAATTGAAGTAATGCAGCATGAGGTCATAAGCTTTCCTGCATAAGTAGGGCACAGCACTAATGAATTGTGGTATTAATGCACAAGTTTAAATAGAAAACATGGCTTAACAATCAAAACTTCACCTTTGAGGGAACTAGTGTACGTCAGCATTTCAAATGGGAACATAAGAGGTTGAGCCCTCCAGTTCAGCTTACTGATGGTAAAACAGAAATGCTAAAATTCGTTATTTCTAAAACACATGAAGATAACTAACACTCGTGACAATAACTATATCTTCCTTTAAAGTCTAATATTAATAAATGGCAGTTACTTGGACGATAATTATGGCATCTCTGATACCCAAACCTGAAGCTTTTATAGGGCTTATGCAATTAACTACTTAAATGCATCGTAACACTTGCTTCTCTGACAGGGAAGTATTGATTTTTTAATCATTTTCAAGTCTCCTCTAGCACAAATAAATGTACTACAGTTACAGTTAATGCACTGTGTACACGCATTAAACACTGGCATGACACAATTTATTATTTTGTGATATATGGAACAGAAGCCTACCCTTTCAGAAAGTAACATCCTTGCTATAAAATTAGTATTTAAACTACAGTCTCGTTGATGCTTGGGAATTCTTGTGTGTCAAGACAGCAGAAGACTGTACATAATAGGTTATGTAAGTTAAAAAACAAAAAAAAACAAAGCAAAACAAAAACACAACAGAAAACCAAACCCTGCACAGAAACAGAATGAACTGAAAATAAATCTGTAATACTAGCCCAGCAGGGTACTAAATGCTGAAATTAAAAATATTCAAGACTAAAAGATACAGTATATATTTTCCTAAAGGTGTCACTGTGGTACCTGTAGCTACTTTCTGAAAGATGAATTGACTATAATTTTACCTATTTAATTTTTTTTAGTCACGTTCTGTTAAGACACATCTGTCAAAATAATGAGCGTACTACATTTTAGTGGATTCAAAGTCACATTTTGTGTATTTTAATTATGTAGTTTTAATGTCTTGCTATATAATACATATTTAATATATTATAAAGCTAAAACAGTATTTAAAAGCCCATGATTGCTGCATGCCATTGTGTAGCAGAGGGCACAAAAAAGACCAATAAAGACAGATGGTCCATACAGCTTATGTTGAAGTCATATATCTAAATATAGATGTTGCTACACAGGTCATTACAAATAAGCCTTTCCCATGTGTGTATGCACACACATGTACACAAAAATGAAGTTGGTAAGTAAAGAGCAGTTAATTTTGTTTTGTTTGAAATAATATCATTTTAGTTTTAGATTCGAAGACAGATGCCAGCATTTCGCTCTGAACAGATGGTAATTCCATCTAATAGTGCATCTCTGTATTAGTAAGGTCTGTTGTGTATACAAACAGTAATAAACACTAGGTAAGGATCAAAATAAATTTTAATTGTTGACATTAAATTCTGGCAGCCACGCTTCTAAGGATACAATACTCCTTTCTCAAGTCTGTCAGGTTTACTAATACAACTGCTAAAGCTTTTCCATACTCTGCCAGACTCGTGTCCCAGGAATAACATATTTACACTGTGGCTAAATATAACAGGCTTATATATGTCTGAATAACTACTGCTCGGCATACTGTAGGTAGATATTTGCGTACCCTTCCACAGAAGCCTTCCATTAGCCACTCTGCATAGTTCAGGAGGGTAACAGTAAGAAAAAGCATACAGTTTTTAATTAATGTTGAGTTGAATTCAAAATGCATGCATACAAATTAAAACAGAAATGTTCAGCAAATTTGAGGACAAAAACTTAAAGAAAACCTACTTTTGTTCATTGTGGAGTTTACCTAGCAGGTAAAATTACATCCCTCACTATTGGTCATCCATTTCACTTCTGCTACAAGTTATTAGTCCAGAGGACCCCGAGATTGCCATAGCATTTCTGGTATGATCTTTTCTTCCTCTGCGCTTCACAATAGCATCAGTCATTTTGACAGTAAATAAGTCAAGAAATAATACTTGTATCTTCTGACAGTATTTTGATTTTTTTTTTTTAGAAGATTGTTTAGAGTCCATTTTGGACTCTCCCCCCCAACAGACTAAAAACCACCCATAGTGGACATCAAAAGAAAATTTAATAACGCGAATATGTTACAATCATATTTCTTTAAAAATAGATGTAATACACAGTATTTTTTAAAAATCATGAAAAATATATTGCTTCCACCATATGGGACAACCAACGACTCACCAACCGATTTAAGATGCAGCATATTGAGCTGACCATATGTTACAGTGCTGTTGAATGGCTGAGTGATTCATGCCCGTCACATTCTAGTATATCAATTAAAGCTCCTTGAAGTCTGCATGATTTGTGTCTCTGTTATTAAACCCTGCTAATTCATCCCACTTACACATCTGTTATAAATCTCTAGGAGTGCTGCATGATTCATGGCAATCTGTGAGCATGGTACAGCAAATTCTTCTCCTTGTAATTAACAGTAAATTGTTTTACTGCCATGCAATGAATTTTTCAGTTATATTGCAAATGAACTCCTAAATGCACGGTTCTTTCCTAAGAACTGACTTATATTATTAGGCAATTAAAAAGTATTGCTTTGAACCAAAAGCTTTTAATCAAGAGGAATGCAACTAAAACATAGCTTAAAAACCTTGCAAATTTGACACAGAGGGAAAAGAACAAACTGAGCTATTTTCTGAAGTATAACATGTGGTTGGTAGGGGAGAGGAAACAAATACCTTTTGAGTCCCTACTAATTTCCTGAAACTCAAAGAGCAGTTTAACTACAGCTTGAACACTTGGCAAGACAAGTTTGAGCAGATACTATTTATCTCAGAAGTTACTTAAGTCATCTGTCATTATGAAATTTCTCAGATTACTTTACACTTTTCTAATTGTAAAACAGTGTCTTTATTCTTGAAATAAATAATTGGATAATTAGCCAAGCTGAATCATCAGAGGATTCCAACGCTGCTCAAGTGTTCTTGTCAAAGGTGAAGCAAATTCATTTCAGCTTTGCCTCTGCAGCTTTCTGAAGAGCCTTTGATTTTTTTCCTGCTACATTCTTGGCAGCAGCCTCAAATTCATGAGTCCATACATCAAGTCAGTAGTTTAACAACAAATGAAATTAAATTCAAAGAAGGGAAACTAATTGAAGGACAGCAACAAAAGTGTTTGGTAATGTGCTTTTTAATATGGCATGCCACATTTGCATGATAATTTTTCCTTTTTAGCATGGAGCAGAAAGTGACTAGCTTAATGAGGGATTATTCAAGACAGGAATGAACAAAATGCATTCATAACTAAGAACAAAGATTGTATTATGAAACGGAAACAGGCAACTGCCGAGAAGTAACTGGATGATTGGTTTATGCATTATGAATAAAAAGGTAGAAAAATATTTATATTAGTATTCGCTAATGACTATATAT